ACTACTACTACTACGACTACTACGACTACTACTACTACTACTACTACTACTACTACTACTACTACTACGACTACTACTACTACTACTACTACTACTACTGAGCTCGCCGATGCGACAAGGCGTGCTGATCAGCAGGTGTTGCCTCGGGGGCTTCCAGCTCTGCCTGTGCTCTTCGATGGGCTCCCCCCTCGCTCGAGCCCACGCCCTGGCCCCGGCTCGCCTCCCCACCCTGCCCGGCGCCCACCCCCCGCCCCTGGGAGGAGCTAGAGGGTACCGATACCACTGCTCCCTGGAGCTGCTCTCGGCTGCTTCCTGACTCCTGACGAGGACCTCGGGGCCTACATGGGGATTTTGGACGAACAAAAAAAAAGTCAAAAAATGCCAAAAAATGTTCGAATAATACTCAACAAATCGTCCCCATACTATTGTTTGACTACTTCTCTGCATATTCCTCCTGTAGAGGGACAGGCCTGACTCCTGACGAGGACCTCGGGGCGACGCAGGCCGCGCGCGACGAGGGCAGGGCAACGGTATATGGGCACAGTCTTCCTCTGCGGAGCGCCCGACTCCTCCCCCGGAAACAAGTGTGGGACGCACAGAGACATATTAGTACTATGTGTCCTTCTTGGAGGCGCGCGTCCGACCCGAGCACATAGTATACCCATCTTGTAGTATATAATTTCCCGAGCGGTGAGGCCAGAAAGAGCCCGCCAAGACGCATATGCTGTAAGATTTCTCGGTGCGCGCGTCGCCCCTGAGGGGGCGACGCACACATAGTACTAATATGTTGGGGTGACACCGAAAATAGATGTTCGTCCCGGAACTTCGGTGGCAACTCATGGGACCATCTTGTCGGCTCCTGCGAATCGACGCTAATCGACGCCAGTCGACGCCAATCGACGCGAAATCGCCGCTAATCGACGCGAACCGACGCTAAGTCGGCGCTATCTCCTCGACTCCCAGACGCTAATCGACGCTCATCGCTCCTCCTCCTCCTCCTCCTCCTCCTCCTCCTCCTCCGCCTCCGCCTCCTCCTCCTCCTCCGCCTCCTCCCCCTCCTCCTCTCCCTCGGGGGCTCGCGACGCCGTGCGGTGACGGACCCCTGGGAACTCCCAGAGAGGGCCTCCCCGCACGGTCCCCCGACATCCCGCTGCTCCATGCTCCGCGAGGCGTGGGCCCAGAAGCCCGGACCTCTTCCCCAGAGCCGGCTTTTCGTCCTGAGCTAACCAGCCTCGAACATATCCCCATCCCTAAGCTGGGCGAGCAAGAAGCGAGGACAATCTGAGGGGTAGGCCCTCAGAAACGGAGGGAATCCTTAAGCTCGGCATCGAGGTGAGGTGATGTCGAACATAGGGATAGGGATAGGTGAATCGTTTTCTGACGCTCCCGAAGCCCAGCGAGGGCCACCGGAGGCCGAAAACGGACAGCAACCCGCCGCTCCAACTTTTTGGTGGAGCGCCAGCTCTCTGGGGCCGTGGGACCTTGGCGGCCCCCGTCGCGCGAGACGTCCTCGGAGCACGACCCCAAGACCCACAGCGGCGCAGTCACCTCAAAGAACCCCGCTGGCCCACCACGAGTGAATATCGCTTAACCGATCCCCATCCCCAGCGGCGTGGCCTGGGCCCCACTGGCCGGTTTGACCCCCTGGATGGGGATATAGGTCATTCCCTTCGGGCTTCGGGGGGTGTATCCCCAGCTGGGGTGGTAATTTGGCAGGGGTCTCGAATAGGATAGGGATGGGGATGGGGATGGGGATTGGTTCAACGACACCGATTCTAGGAAGCCCTCCCCCAGCCCCCCGCCCCCCTCTGCGCGTGGCTGAACCCTGAAACTCCCAAAACTCACAGAGAATGTGCTTCTCGCTTCAGCGTGGGATGGAAATCGGTCAAACGATACTCCAGATTTCGTAATAAAAGGGAGGGGGTCTCAACCCTCCCAGACGAGAAGTTTTAGACCCCCCCCCGTGGGAGAACCCTCCAAGACATTGTCCCCAGACCCCCCCAGGCCCTCCAAGATAGCCTGGAAGAGACCCCCCCCGAAATGAGACCCCCCCTCCCTTTATTACGAAATCTGGAGCACTGAGCGAGGTGTGGCCACCGCACCGCTCGGGGGCCTCCGACCCCCGCCGGGCTGCGGGCGGCCGACCCCGCCCGCAGCCCGCAGCCCCGGGGAGCGGCGGCGGCGCGCCCGTCGCAAGCAGCGCTGCCAGGCGCGGCGTCCTGTGGGCACGCGCCGCCCAGTCGCGGAGAGGGGGAGGAGGAGGGGGAGGAGGAGGAGGAGGAGGAGGAGGAGGAGGAGGAGGATCGCGAGGAGGGCGGAGGAGTGAGGAGAGGAGGAGGAGGAGGAGGAGAGGAGGAGGAGGAGAAGGAGGAGGAGGAGGAGGAGGAGGAGGAGGAGTGAGGAGGAGGGAGGGGGGGGAGGAAGAGGAGGAGGAGAGTTGGAGAGGGGGGGGGAGGAGGAGGAGCGAGGAGGAGAGGAGGAGGAGGAGGAGGGAGGAGCGAGGGGGAGGAGGAGGAGGAGGAGAGGAGGAGGAGGAGGAGGAGGAGGAGGAGAGGGGGAGGCGGAGGGGGGGGAGGCGGAGGAGGAGGAGGAGGAGGAGGAGGAGGAGGATCGCGAGGAGGAGGAGGAGGAGGAGGAGGAGGAGGAGGAGGAGGATAGCGGAGGAGGAGGAGGAGGAGGAGGAGGAGGAGTGAGGAGGAGGAGGCGGGCTTCCCCGCGGCCAGCTCCTCGGCCCGAGCCGCTGCCTGGCGGCCCCGGGGCCGGGGGATGCGGCCTCCGAGCCCGAGTGCCGAGAGACCCGCCCGAGGCCCCCTCGCCTTGCGCGCTGTGCAGGAGGAGGCGTGGCGTGGTCGTCGTCGTCGTCGTCGTCGTCGTCGTCGTCGTCGTCGTCGTCGTCGTCGTCGTCGTCGTCGTCGTCGTCGTCGTCGTCGTCGTCGTCGTCGTCGTCGTCGTCGTCGTCGTCCTGGGCGCTTTCTCTCCAACACTTCTGGGCGCTCCGAGGCGCCGCGTCCGGGCGGGCGGGCCTCGGAGGATGGGCCTGGAAGGGCCTCCCGAGGAAGGTTATTTAGTCGATCCGTTTTTTTGTTTTCCTTCCCGAGGAAAACTTGCCCCCTTGGGAACTCAGGGGCTCGAAGGTATGCAGTTGGGATGATGGGCCAGTTTTCCACCATCACTACCATAGGTCGGACGGGGGAGAAGGGAGGCTGGGGAGGTCCGCCTCCCCCTTCCCTCCTCCGCCTCCTCCTCCTCCTCCTCCTCCTCCTCCTCTTCCTCCTCCTCCTCCTCCTCCGCCTCCTTCTCCCTCTCCTACCTATGGTAGTGCTGGTGGAAAATCGGCCCATCATGGGACGTCTGCGTTGCTCCCCAGTCTGCGTTTTGCCGACGATGTGCTTTCCCTCGCACCGAACCTACGACAAGTGAAGGCATCCTCTGGGACCTCAAACAATAATCCCAGTGTGGACTTGTGCTACATCCTGACAACATCGAAATTATCACTAACGTCAGCAGGCGACAGGGGCGGACCATCACGCACACGGATGTAGACGGCGACAGGATGGAAATTCTTAATATTGGCCGCAAGCTCACATTCCACGACTTCCACCAGGCAGAACTCTCCAACCGACTCGAATCCGGATGGCGCCGTTTCAACCAGTTTCGTGACAACAACAACAACAACAACAACAACAACAACAACAACAACAACAACAACAACAACAACAACAATTACTAGCACGTGGGGACACTCCGTTCTCACCAGTGCCAGGGTTTTCATAGGAGGCGGGCAATACCCCCACTTTGTGGGGGGGCCGGTTCAAGCTCTACCAAATTTCCAAACGACTCTTCGCCACCACCCACACCCAGCTTCCCGCCCTATGACGTTCGGACACTTCACTTCGTGGCATGCGGACGACCGTGGCTACTATTCAGGGCCCCGCGGCCGACGACGACGGCGTGCGCGCGCGAAGAAAAAACGAATGTGTCCCGCATGGTATTATTTGACAGGGATGATGGCCCTGGCAGGTGCGCAACCGTTGTTGCAGAAGTTCGAAAAAGTTGCTCGCAAAAGCCCGTTTGACAGAAATGTTTAAAAAGTGTTGGGTTTCCTACGAATCCGCAAGAGCGCGCGGGATGAAATTTGAAAAAGTTGAAAAAAAAAAAATAAAAAAAAAAAAAAAAAAAAAAAAAAAAAAAAAAAAAAAAAAAAAAAAAAAAAAAAAGTTTATATGTTTTTATGCTAAAATCGCTACGAAAACTAAGGTTTTGGCAGGATTTCGTCTTGCGCGCGCGAATGTCCACTTTACCTTATTTTTTGCAAGGGATTCTTGAAGTTTGGTTATGTTAGAACAAGAAATGTCATTTTATATTGTTTTTTGCAAGGGAAAGCGGGGGGGAACAAAACAACCGGATCTGGATCACATCGTTTTGTCAAGGGCTTTCGCTCGAAAATGATGAAAATGTGGCTGCGGCCTAGGCGCGGCGGGGGGGCCGTGCACCAGGGGTCCCAACAATAATTATTCTTTAGAAGTAATAATGTTCAACAACAACAACAACAACAACAACAACAACAACAACAACAACAACAACAACAACAACGACAACGACAACGACAACGACAACGACAACGACAACGACAACGACAACGACAACGACAACGACAACGACAACGACAACCACAACCACAACCACAACCACAACCACAACCACAACCACAACAACAACAACAACGACAACGACAACGACAACGACAACGACAACGACGACGATGACGACGCCGCCGACGACGACGACGACGACAACGACGACCACAACAACAGCAACAACAACAAAAACAACAACCACAACCACAGCAGCAACAACAACAACGACAACAGCAACAGCAAAAACAGCAGCAACAACAACAACAACAAACAAAAAAAAAACGTCGGAGAGCTGGGGTTCCGGCGCCCTCGCCGCCGTCCCCACACCGAAGGGCAACGATATGGGGGGACCGGCTCAAGGGAGCCATCATGGACCTGAACTCTGCGGTAGATCGCCGATGGATCGGCGATAGGTCTCCGATTGCAGTTCCGCATGGTCGTGGGCGGGGTGGACTGTCGGGCACCTGTCGGCGATGAGTAGGCGATTGGGGGTCGATCCCCCCTCCATCGTTGCCCCCTGGCATTCGGGGCAGATCTCGGCTCCCCGGCGGCCCTTCGGGACGAGCTGGGCACCCCCGGAACGCCCTCGGCCAGGCGCAGCCGCCGGAAGGCATCCCGAGGCTGGCAAACCGCTGACAAGTCTGGGATGAGGTCAGACAGACCTCGAACCTCCAACACCTTGCCTATCCCCCCCCAATCGCTTCGGCAACTCCGACAGGTGTGGTCTGCAAAGGCCGCGGGTCGCAACCCGCACCCTGGGGGGCGGGGGAGACCTCGACAGAGTTCCCCGCCGCGCCCCGAGGAGGCCCGACGAAGGCCACGCGGTGCCCCCCGAGCACCAGCGACGCAGATCGCAAACCACACCCGGGCGTAACCACGCCCTTTGTCGTCGCCGAACTTTGCCCCGCAACCCCGCAGGTCCTCGGCGGCCCGGCCACCGCGACCACCGAGCCGACGGAGGCGTTGGAGGCCACGTGCGCCAGCACTGGCACCGCCGGCGGGCTTCGCGGCATCCCGCGCGCCTTGCGCCAGCGGCCGCGCCGCGCACCCCGCACCCGCGAGGCCGACCCTACGCCGAGGGCCCCAGCATGACCGCGGGCAGCGACGACGGCGGCGACGGCGGCGACGGCGACGGCGGCGGCGACGGCGACGGCGACGGCGGCGGCGACGGCGGCGGCGACGGCGGCGGCGACGGCGGCGGCGGCGACGGCGACGGCGACGGCGACGGCGACAGCGACGGCGACGGCGGTTTGCTGCAGCGGCTTGCGGCTGCGTTTTTCGGCGGCGGAAACGGCCTCAGCCATGGCGACGGCGGCATCCGTCCTACCCCGCCTCCCCGTCCTGTTTTTCCACTCGTCCTCCTCTCGGTCCATTTTCCCCCCTTCGTCATTCCATCCTCGTTTCCCCATCCTTCCTCCTTCATCCTTTTCCCTATTGATAACTCCTCCCCGTCACGCCCCCCGACGTGTCGGTAGGGCGGGCCGGGCGCTTCGCGTGAGGCTTCCTCACCGCTTATGATCCTGAAGTTTGAAGTCTGCAACGGTCTTACGGATGGAGGGCGGGTGGTTTTCAAAATGCGGTTCTCGCCCTAGCGACGCGCAAATTCGTTTCAAAAACCTGCAACAACTCCACGTATGGAGGGCGAGTCGTCTTCAAAATGCGGTTACCACCTTAGCGCCGCACGAATTCGTCATCAAAGTTTGCAATCGGTTCACAGATGGTTTGCGGGCGGTTTAAAAAATCGTTCTCGCCCTAGAGGGCGCGTCGTTTGCAAAATGTGGTTGTCGCCTCAGCGCCGAGGACATTCGTCTTCAAAGTCAGCAACCACTTCATTGATGGCTAGCGGGTGGTTTTCAAAATGTTGTTATCGCAATTGCGCCGCGCACACTCGTGTCAGAGGTTTCCAACAGTTGCTTGGATGGAGGGCGAGCCGTTTTCAAAATGTGGATCTAGCCGTCGCGCCGCGCAAATTCGTTTTCAACGTTTGCAAGAATTTGGAGGATGGACGGCGGGTGGTTCAAATGCGAATATCGCAGTAGCGTTGCACACATTCGTTTTGTAAGTGTGCAGCAGATTCAAGAATTCCCATCGTCGAAGTCGCCTGATAAATGATATGGTTACCCCAGTGCGACCCGACCTAGAAGTTGGAGCCCCTAGGAAAGCAACATTAGTCGCTATGCTATGCTATGCTATGCAATGCTATGCTGCGCTATGCTATGCTATGATATGCTATGTTATGCTATGATATGCTGCGCTATACTATGCTATGCTATGCTAAGCTATGCAATGTCATGCTGCGCTGTGCTATGCTGCGCTATGCTATGCTACGCTATGCTATGCTATGATATGCTATGCTAAGCTGCGCTATGCTATGCTATGCTATGCCATGCTACGCTATGCTATGCTGCGCTATGCTATGCTATGCTATGCTATGATTGGCTATGTTATGATATGATATGCTATGATAATGCAGCGCTGCGCTATGCTAAGCTAAGCTAAGCTAAGTTAACCCTCTAGGCAGAGCCTAGGTAGGGAGTTATACCCATGCTAATGATATGTTGTGCTGCGCTATGCTATGCTACGATATGCTATGTTATGATGTGCTCTGCTATGCTTAAGCTCAGCGAAACTGAGATGAAGGTAAGCTAAGCTAAGATAAACCTGAGCTAAGATGAAGCTAAGCTAAGCTAAGATGAAATTAGTTAAGCTAAGATGAGATAAGCAACGTTAAGCTAAGGAGACGTAACTGGGGGAACCGCGGGGCGGATGCCGGGGGAACCGCCTGGGGCGGGTTCCACTGCCCGGCCCCTTAAAGATACAGGGTAAGAACCCTCTGGGCAGAGCCTAGGTAGGGAACAAGAACTAGGAGTGTCAGAACGCAACAGTCACGTTGATTCGCGGTTTTGATTGAAGTCCCCAGCAATGCTGCTGTGGCACAGTTTAAGATCGACACGACGCAACAGTCACGTTGATTTGCGACGCCGAGAAGTAAGGCTCAGGATTTGCATTTTGGCACGACTGCGGATTCTCAGGCGTTTGTCTTCAAGTGGGGCATTGCGCCGCAATGAAGATAAATTCTTGTATTTGGGCCCTACGAAGATGGAATCTCCTCTTTTCGGCAAGAGAACTTTTTCGGCGAGGGCCGTGCCAGCGGGCGGCAGGCCAAGGGGAAGCAATATGTCAGCCGCGCGGCGCGCCCTGGCGCCGGCACCGAGGCTGGGAGAGGCAGGAGGAAATGAGAGGCCGCTTCTTTCAGGGAGCGTGGCCCAGAACTCGTGGAGGTCCGCGTGGTGCAAGACGCCGCGACGCCATAATCCTGCTCGATCAGTTCGTGTTCAGCAGGGTGCCCGAGAACTGATCCTGGCACTTCAGCAGCTTAGACACCGTGGCGTCGGTGCACGACGAGAGCGCAAAGCGGTGGGAGAAGCACTGGAAGAAATCCTCCGTGAACGGCGCGCACTCCGCCTTCATCGCCGCGGCGATGCCGCCCACGGCCTTCGCCCGCTCGGCGGCGCAGGCGGCGCCGCCCTTGTCCTTCACGCAGCCCTTGAACGTGCGAATCGCGACCTTGGTGTCCGTCACCGATGACATCCTTCGGGTAGTTGGAGCCTCCTGCCACCGTGAGGTGGGCGCTGGTTTGTCGGATCTCGAACACGCGCGCCGCTCTCGCACACGGGCACACTCGAGCCAAAATGGCTACGGACCCCACGAAGAAAGAACTTGGAGGGAGAAGGTGCATTGCAGCATCGTTGATGCGTCCTGGAGTCACACGGATCACTCCTGCCTTTCTGCCTTGCGCGCTCGACGAACGTGCTGCCGGCCGCCGCCGCGCTCGACCGCCGCGGCCGCGGCGGTGCACGCCCGAGAGCGCGCGAGCGAGCGAGCGACGGGCGGGAGAAGCCGGCGGCGGCCCGAGCCCGCAGCGAAGGCAGCGGGCGGCAGGCGGCAGCCAGCGCAAGCCCCTTTTCTACATTGCGCGGAATTGATGCAACAGCACGGAGCGCTGATGTGATGCAAAAGTAGCGGCAGGCCTGTGCCCTGCAGCAGTGCGGAATAGAGGAAGGCGCCTCGCGGCTGTAGAAGAATGAGCGCGAGTCCCTCCTCCTCCTTCCCCTGCTCCTGTCCGAGGCGTTGCCGACGAGGGGGGGGGGCCTGCACCGGGACGAGCGCCGGCCCGCGCTCCCAGCTGGACATCCGCTGGGCATCCTTTGCGGCGGCGGGGCAGGAGGTGCACACCGAGTCGGCCGGCCGACTCGGCTGCCGTATGTCCTCATCCTTGCAAAGAATCGGTTTTGAACTACGACGGGGTTCCAAGAGCGGCGAGAGCGCCTCCAGCTCAGTTTGAGCCCTCTCCTCCTCTTCCTCGTCCTCCTCCTCCTCCTCCTCCTCGTCCTACTTCTCCTCCTCCTCCTCCTCCTCCTCGTCCTCCTCCTCCTCCTCCTCCTCCTTCTCCTCCTCCTCCTGCTCCTCCTCCTCCTCCGACTCCGACTCCGACTTCTCCTCCTCCTCCTCCTCCTCCTCATCATCATCATCCTCCTTATCCTCCTCCTCCTCACCCCTCCGCTTCTTCCTCCTCCTCCTCCTCCGCCTCCTCTCCTCTTCCTCCTCCTCCTCCTCCTCCTGTCCATCCTCCTCCTCCTCCTCCTCCTCCTCCTCCTCCTCCTCCTCCTGTTCCTTCGCCTTTCTCCTCCTCCTCTCCTCCTCCTCCTCCTCCTCTTCCTCCTCCTCCTCCGTCTCCTCCCTCCTCCTGCTCCTCCTCCTCCTCGACTCCGACTCCGACTCCTGCTCCGCCTCCGACTCCAGCTCCGCTCCGCCTCCGCCTCCTCATCCTCCCTCTCTCCTCGTCCACCTTCTCGTGCTCCTCCTTCCTCACCTCCTCCTATCCCCTCCTCTCCTCCTCCCGCCTCCGCTCCTCCTCCTCCTCCTCCTTCCTCCTCCTCGTCCTCCTCCTCCTCTTCCTCGTCCTCCTTCCTCCTACCTTCTCCTCCTCACTTCCCTCCTCCTCCTCCTCCTCCTCCGCTCCGCCTCCTCCTCCTCCTCGCTCCTCTCCTCCCCTGCTCCTCCTCCTCCTCTTCCTCCTCCTCCTCCTCCTCCTCCTCCTCATCCTCCTCTTCCTCCTCCTCCTCCTCCGCCTCCGCCGCCGCCTCCGCCGCCTCCTCCTCCTCATAATCATCCTCATCATTGGTAAATGTTATGCGTATTATTGGTATCAGTCTAATTAGTGTTAGTGTTAGTAGTAGTAGTAGTAGTAGTAGTAGTAGTAGTAGTAGTAGTAGTAGTAGTAGTAGTAGTAGTAGTAGTAGTAGTAGTAGTAGTGGTGGTGGTAGTAGTAGTAGTAGTAGTAGTAGTAGTATTGCTATTGT